GAATTTCAGTGGCAGTCAGCTTTTGACTCCATCCCTTCCTCTGCAGCTAATACCTCCTCTCTCCTGCCCTCTAACATCCCTTCTACCTAATCTTGTCTTTCTGTCCCCATTGTTAGTATTCATATTCATTTAGCCCTGCCATGTATATTACCTGGTCAAATGCAGTGCCCTTCAAGGCCACTTCCCAGCCTTTAGATTCTTCCTTTGAGATCTCCTCTTAGGACTGCTCACATCACTCAAATCTTACCCTTCCTTTGCACCAATTGTGTTCTGATTTTCCTGCTTCTCGCTTTGGTTGCATCACTTCTTTGCCACTCTGCTCCGAACAGCCTTCTCCCAGCCAGACTTTATCCTGCTTCTGGAGCATGCCTCATTCCTCTCACGACTTGACCAACATTCTGCCTTTGTCTTGACTGACCCCTTCCCATTCTTTGAACAGGACAGTCCTCACTATTCAGGAATCAGTCATGGTATAGATGCCATGATGTTTATACCAAGTGCTTTCTGGCCCCATCTTGATAAGATTCCTGTCAATGATAAGTAGTGTTAACACTATATCTTTCCTGTAACACCATGCTCTGCCTTGCATATAAATAATTTGTATATTGATCCAGGTAACAGTTTTTCTGCCTAGCAAATCACTTTGTAGTACATAGCAGTAGGACAGCGATCCAGCTGTTGGTCATGTAAGAGAAATGGGGCAGCAGAATGATGAACAGATCCCAGTGAGGAGATAGAATGCACCCGTGGATTGTTGGAAGACAAGGATGAGTAATAAACTGTAGGGTTAAGCCCAGCCTTAGGGGTCGTGTCCGCCTCAGGCGAATGTTTACCTATAAATCTGCTGGGCATGCGCAGCTGCCCCTTCTGCTTCCTGTTCTCCGCGGGAACCGTGGTACTGTAAGTCTAATTTCCCCATTAAAGCTGTGTATATATTTTACAATCTGTTTGCATTCATTTACGCCGTTACAATAAACTCTGATGTCAGTGGTCTTGAGAGGATTACCCACTAGGGGGGACTGAAGGGATTTGATGCCAAGCACTAAACTAAAAAGTCATCCTAATCTGACTAGCCCTGGATAGGTTCTGAAGAGAATTGTTCACTCTCTGCCAGCCAGCTTCCCCAACAGTGCAAACAATACAGCTTTGAAAACAGTACAGTGATTATTGATGAGATTGTTAAATATTATGCAGTTAATGTATAACAAGATCAGCACAAATACCAGTGAAGTTAGTGACTGTTTGGGTGTCAGCTAAGTAACCACTGAAGTGTCTGAACAGTTGAGCCAAGATGGGACAATTTATTAACTGTTCTTACTGAGAAATTCTTTTTTTTTCTCAGTAAAAAATGTTTTTATTTCTTTTTTATCTTCATTTTTAATTCTTTGAGAATTTTATATAATGTGTCTTGATTATATTCACCTCTCTCTCTCTGAACTCCTCCCAAATCCAACCCCCTTTACTCTTGGTTGTCTGTTTTTTAAACCCATTAAATACAGTTTGTGCTGCTTAGTTGCGTGACCTTCCACTGAAGCATGGTCAACCTTCCAGGGGCCACATCCTCAAGGAAAACTGACTCTTCCTCTCCCAGCAGCTATCAGTTGCCAATAGCTCTTAAGTCAGTGGTTGGATTTGGTGTCCACCCTTCCCTCTCCATGCTGGGATTTGTCTGGCTAGAGCCTGCGAAGGGTTTGTGCATACTGTCTTGACTGCTGTGAATTCATGTGTGAAAATGCCCTACTGCGCAGAGAAAACACTGTTTCCTGGTGGCCATCCATGGCCCCTGCCTCTTAGAATCTGCTCCATCTTCCACAATGATCTATGAACCTTGGGAAACAGGGATGCGGTGTGAGATGTCTCGTTTAGGGCTGATCATTGTTCAGTTTTAGTTTCCACACTTTGACCAGTTGCAGGGTTTCTATGATAATCATCATCTACTGCAAAAAGAAGTTTCTCTGATGAGGGTGCAAAAGTGGACTCATTCACAGGTGTAATAATAAGCCATCAGAGGTCAGTTTAATACTATACCGTATAGCAGAGTAATAGAGTATGCTCTCTCCTATCGTCTATGACCTGTCTAACCACAGGTTCTTAGCCCCAGTAATGGTGCCAAATGTGGGTTTCATCGTGTGCAGTGGGACTTAAATACAATCCTAAAGTAGTTGGGTTCTCCTATAGCATCATACCACTGTTGCCCCAGTGGGGCTAATTACCAGGCCAGTTGTCACTGTAGCATGCAGAGTTCATAGCTGGGTAAGCCTGATGACTGCTTTCCTCTTCTGGTGGTGTTTATGGTACTCTCCCAGCACTGTGAAAGCTAGCCAGTAGGGACGGAACTTCCGGGTGAGTACTAGTTTGATTTCTCCATATCCTGACTCAGGTATGCGGCATCTTCTACAGTAGGGTCTTAACCATCAAGTTCTGTAAGTTAACCAGGAGCATTGACAATAAATAGCCCATCATGCTTTTAGTTTGGTAAAACGTCTAATTTTGTGAGATTTGACATTAACACTGGAGGCTGGTTTCCAAACAGACCCTAGTCATGTCTTACAAAGTGCCTTATGAAAGCTGAGTTACATGCTTGATGTGTGTTGCAAGTAGAGTAAGTACAGTAGTAGGTTGAGCACCCAGATCACACAGACTTGTCATTATTGACTAACTAGTGATCACAAAGTAGCTTTCTTGTCTTTGTGTATTCTCTTATATTTGAGGCAAAATAGACCCAAGTATATTTGCCAACTTCATGAAGCCATATGTCCCTAATTTCTATTTGCCTTTCAAAATGAACCAACACCTAAATGAGCTGCCAAGTCACTATAAAATCTATGTCCCAGTGTCAAGCTTGAAACTAGAAGTGGTGTCTTCTGAGGCAGCATTAGATAGATACACAAAGTTTGTTGTTCATAGCACTGTTAAGAGGGTCATTTAAAAATACACTGACCCTACTGAAAGGAATGCCTCATTAAAATATAAGTTTAGGACTTGTAAAGGTTAGTCATCTAATAAAGTAAGAGCATTTCCTCTAAGTGGAAAATGTACGTTGATTTTAGGGGTGTGGTATTGTTGTAACTGGTCAGTCTGTTATAATTTAATGATCCTGAACAAGGAAATGTCTAGGAGGGTGTGGAAGAGAGCACAGTGCCTTGTACCTATTCTCTTAGGCTTATTTTTTTAAATAAACATCCTGAATTTTTTATTCTTATGCCAGTCTCTAAATAACAAAGAGTAGGCAGAAATTTTAGTTATCTTTGAGAGTAACTTTTACCTGAAAGCTTAAAGTTCAAAAAACTGGGAAACTCATTTACCCATCTGTCCACATCACATTTGCATGCCCTATGCTGCAGGAATGTGAGGACAAGCAAAGCAAGCAATGCCCTAGCCCCCAGCCTGGAGCATGCGTGGTCAGACACACTAGTGGTTGTTGAGTTTAGTTTGCCCAGGGTCAGTCCCAGAGTGAAATTCTGCTACCTCTCTTACAGTTCATAGTAAAGCCAAAGCCACTCTTTTTGAAACAGGGATTCTCTGTGGAGCCCTGGCTGCCCTGGAACTCATTGTGTAGACCAGGCTGGTCTCAAACTCAGAGATCTGCCTGCTTCTGCCTCCCAAGTGAGTGCTGGGATTAAAGGCGTGCGCCGCCACCACCCAGCAACAAAGCCACCTTTTAGATTCCAGTTGGGACTGTGTTTTGGAGGAATAATTGACACGGGTGGCTTGTCATAGTTTTTTTTTTTTTTTTTTTTTGGTTTTTCGAGACAGGGTTTCTCTGTGGCTTTGGTTCCTGTCCTGGAACTAGCTCTTGTAGACCAGGCTGGTCTCGAACTCACAGAGATCCGCCTGCCTCTGCATCCCAAGTGCTGGGATTAAAGGCATGCGCCACCATCGCCCGGCTCAAGGCATAGCTTTTGAACACTTCCCAGGAGCTGGGTTGTATTCTAGATCACGTCACCAACATAGAACAGAGGGAAGAGTGAGAAACAAAAGCAGACAAGTTACTTTGATGGCTGCTGTTAGCAGGACTTTAGAACTGAAGGAGCATCAGATTGGGGAAACTGGGGAAAAGTAGCAGGAGAGGATGGGAGCAAGATGGGCCAGGTTGGAACTGTGCTGGTGGTGGTCAGTGACTTCAGTCTCTGAGTGGCTTGAGTGAAGACTTGAGATGGGAAAAGAAACATCTGGGAGAGACTTTGTGCTGAGAGAGTGCAGGGGACGGCAAGGAAGCCAGTAAAGTGGGAGCCAGGGCAAAGGAAAGGTCCTAGACAGACTTTGAGGCTTTTCTTAGAACCAGTTCACAATCGCCAAGTATCCAGCCAATGATGGTCCGTGGAGCTGCTACTATAATGCATGACAGTTGATGTCTATTCATGTGTTATCATTGTCCCTGGAAGCAAAAAGAGTAAGAGAGACCATCTTACACTGTAGATGTTGCAAGGCTCTGCACGTGTGGGACCTATACCATTCTCTCTGGTGCTGTGGTTAGAGTAGCCACAATCGCTCCCCATTTCAGTGATCCGCTGTTTGCTGGTACATAGCCAGGAAGACATTAAATGTCCTTAAAGCTCTAAATCTCTCTCATTGTAGTGTCTAACTTCCTTTAAATTACACCAGTAGCCTAAGTCCATCTCCTATAGTTACTTTTATCATTAGCAGGACAGAAATGCATGATTTATAGGACCAAAGGCAAGCTCCTGTGGCATGTAAAGTGAATTAATAAGGTTGGCTCAGCATTAAGCTATGTCAGAGCTGAGTCCAAATTTTATTCCGGTACAGGGATGACTTTCTATGTGGCCTCTCTGGCGCTGAAGCTAATTTGGATGCTGAGTAGCCCCACAGGTATTTATATGTAGCGTGTGGTATTTTTACTGGGTCCTATTCTTCTCCCTTGGATCACCTAAAATGGTTAAGAATTTTCTAGTGGGATTAAGGTTGTGATCTCAGGGGAGGGGTGGGACATCTGTTCTTGGTTATTTTTGTGAGCTGCTTCCCCTTAAATGTGTGTTCACAAATGAGGCACAGCGTTATCATCTGGGGTTGAGAGAAGACTGGTCTAGGTGCTGCTCCTGAACTTGGCCTCTGAGCCATGGCTTCTCAAAGACACTCAGGTAAAAACTCCCTGTTCTTTCTCTTAGCTTAAGGACAGTTGTTTATGGCAATGAATCTGTCATTTGTCTAAAGATAATTTTGGACTGAATGATTTTAGCGTTGTGTAAATGGTAAGTAAATCCCAGCTGATACCTATTTTGTTCTCATGCTGTTTCAAAGATGAAAGTTTTCTTTCTCAAGTAAGTTTAGACATTTGACTTTTTTAAACTTTATTGTACATTTTCAGGTTATCTTATGAAACTAAGAGATGGTGTGAGGAAGGAAGTTTGATTTTCTTTGTTTTGTGGGGGCAGTATTAGGAATTTTGGGTCATTTATAAGGGCGCTCTTCAGCTCTACAATGCTTGAAGTCTAACTTCAGGTGTTTGTGAAAGGCGAATTGAATAGGGCGAGGGAAGAAGGGTTATGTATAACTTAAAGTATCCATGAAGGACCTGACACGTCTTTCTTTCTTCTGAACAATATTCTTAATTTTTCTAAAGAAACAGTTATAGGTCTCTTTGTTATGAAAAATATGGTATTCATTTTTCTTAACTGGAAAAGTTTCCTATCCCCTAGATAAGGACCAAGAGTGAGTGAGGATTTTCTTCATGTTTTATGGTCTGCCATTAGGGAGCCTTTTGGCTCTAAACAAGATGCCTGTGAAATAGGTGCTGGAGGATGAAAGGTCAGTTCTGTGAAGTTAGCCTGCTGTCTGGATCACTCCCAAAGCCAAGAATGTGGCTCTTGCGCTCTTTCCCTCTGCCCAAATAACAGTTCCCTTTCTTGGAGCTGATGAAGTAAGATAGATGGGCAGAAACCAAAAACTTGGTCCGGTCTCCCAACTTGGAGGTTAAGGGACAAAGTTACTACTAATGGTAGTCTTTTACTTTTTTTTTTTATTTTTTGGAGTTTTATTTTTTGAAACATGGGATTGCCTGTTGATATTTTGACAACAGAAACACTTTTTGAAGAAATGGCCTTTTCAGTGTTTTAAAGCACGTATACAGCAGTGGAGTTGACTTTAATTCATTGATGTGCAGTTCCTGCTTTGTTTCTAAGTGTTTAAAAGCTCTTTGATGATTTCTCTGTAACCCTCAGCGACAGTTTTACAAATATGGTTGCCACATGCCTGAGATTGTGATTATCTGCCAGTCAGCTGTACCAGTTGTCCTAACGGACTTGACTCCGCATCAGCTGGGAGACATAATCACTAATTAACGCTCAGAACAGTCGGATTAATAGCTGGTATTTATGGCATACCTAAAAACGATACCTAAGTTGTTAGTTAATAATAGTAATAATGTAATAAAATAAGAAATAATACAAATAAATAATGCCTCAATTGTTAGAACAATTGTTTGCACTTGTTACATGATTTTTCAAATCAAGAAATAACAGTGTGCATTGTGTTAAGTTCATTGGTCTATAGAAGCAGAGAATAAGTAGTTCCATAGAAAAGAAAGAAGCTCTCACAGAAGGAAAATCAATGTTGCTCTTAAATGGGCTTCCTTTGAGCAAAATGAAGGTTTGGCTGTTTGGATTTGGGCTCATTTTTAGTGTCCATGCACACATCAGAAGACATTTTAAGGACAATGTGCACATTCAGCATTGAACATTCTTATCTGTTAAAACAGCAGTTCAATTCCTTTTACCCTTTTGCTTTCAAGTCAAGGGCCCATCTTTTGTGGGGTTCCCCTGGCTTCGTAGCACCAAGTATGACTGGCAAAAAAAGTCAATGAAATGATTCCTAATGATATTCTGCTATACTCATAGATTCGTGCTTAGCCCAGTTGTCAGAGAGGCTTCATCCAGCAGCTGATGGGAGCAGATGCAGAGACCCACAGCCAAACACTGGGCGAAGCCAGGGGAACATTTTGTATTCTTAATGACCACTAAATGACTGCCTACCACTTTTCCCCAGCTGGAAAAATTAAAAAGACACGTCCCATGGCCACTGGTCACGAACTTTCTTCCCATGACATGCTGCGTGCGACGTGCGCAACATTAAGAGTGGTCGTAGGATGACTTTGCTGAAAGAATAGCAGAGACGTTTTCATTTAATGATACCATAGCCAACCCTCCCGACAGCAGACGTAAACTAAAATGGTGTTAGTTGCACATCAGTTACCCAAAAGAGCTTCTAATTTTTTTACCAAATGTGGCATTCTAGAGAAATTGCTAGGAACATTGAATCATTGTGTTCATGTTCTATTTTTAAGCCAAAAATAAATAACCCTTGCTGATTTTTCTATGATATTTGATAGACTGCTTTTTAGCTATGACTCATAAACTCCGTCTCCCTGAGGGTATTTAGGTGTGTGTTCTCAAATGTCTGATGACACTTCCGGGTGTATTAGCATGTCTGTGACACAAGTGTCCTGTTCATCAGCTGAGGCGTCCTTCCATATTTGTTGAATGTCCTCAGGAGTGCAGTATGTCCTTTTCTTTGGAAGCCAGCCTTTATTGCTATGGCACCGATGTGCTGCACTGAGCCGTAAACAGTAGGGAAAAGCTGGGCTTTTTTTTCCAACTGGGTGGTGTTCAGTGTTTGTGCTGTTAGAGCAGTCCAGCAAAGCGCACAGAAGAAAGTCACCTCCATATGACACCCACTTTCTCCTGAAATGTTAACTTGAACTACTTGGTTTGAGGGACAAATGCAAGTTCCTACCTTGTTTCTTGGTTAGTTGGATGGGTATATGATTAAATTTGAAGCTAGTTCATTTTTCTTCTGTATGTTTATACCTCTGTGTGAGAGTGCTTAGATGTGTGTGTGTGTGCGTGCGCGTGTGCACTCATGCACATGCATGGTCAGTGTTGGGGTTTCAGTCACTCTCCATCCTATATTTGGAGACAGGATCTGTCACTGACCCTGGAGCTGACAAGTTGAGCTAGACTGGCTGGTCATTATAGCTTTAGGGATTTCCTGTCACTTCTTCCTCAGGCACACACCACTGTGCCTGTCTTCTTAGTTGGGCGTTGGCTATCCAAAGTCAGCTCCTTATGCTTTCACAATGGCGTTTTACTGATTGAGCCCCGCCCCCAGCCCCTTTCAATCCTTTGTTGTTGAGACATTGAGGTTTCTGTAGTCACCTCTTGGCACACTGGAAATAAATTTTTTTTTCCTGATAGGAAGCTTCCTTATTAAGTGAAGAATGATGTGTCTTTTGAAGCAGGCATAGAAAGAAAATCAGCCTGCCAACCTAGGATAGATAGGTAGCATTTGATCACCCAGCCACATTTCCCACTGGATTAAGCTAAGCATCCAGAGTTACTTACCTTAAATACATTTATATGAAAGATATCTTAGAAAAATCAGATCACAGTTCACATGACTGGGAGGTATAATTTAGATTTGGAGACCCTAGGATAATGGGAGGTGAGGTTTGAAATCAGGACATAGTATTTTGCATTGTATTAGGTTCCTTCATCTGTGAAAGCAGAAGAGAATTTGGTTCATAAAAGAAAAAAAAATTCTCAGAAGGAAAATCAATATTGCTTAGAAATAGAGACTGAGTTCATTGGATCTGAGTCCATTGTGAATGCCTGTCCACACAGTGAAGTTTAGAAGCTTAACAGTGGCAACCTTTCTCTACCTGTCTACCAGCAAGGCACACTGAAAGATTTCTATACAGAAGGTCCACACTAGGTCCTTGGGCTTCTATTACAGTGGTAGAAGTTTCTGTGACAGAAACCGCACTACCATGTACAAATGAAGGCCACATGAGATTAAAATTCATCAGAGGAGCTACCCTGGAACACAGTGTCCTTCATAGAAGAGGCAATAAGGGAGGCAGCATTGTAATCACATGCAGCAAAATTTTCATTTAATGTGTTAAAACCACCCTAGGTCAAGGCAGATGTGTCTGGGAGCTTGTAGAGTATAAAAGGTTGAACATTGCGTGTACTTGAAAATTGCTAAAGAGGTAAAATGATATCTTAAGAGATAAACACTGAAGAGTATGAGGTCAGCAAGAGTAGAGAGAGCCCCCCTCCCCGCAGAGAGGTTCATTTTTTTCTTTCTCATCTGCTGATTTCTAATGGAGGCTGGGGCAGGGCTGGAAGATTTTCTCCTCCCATGAATTCTGGTGTAACTCCATCTTTCATGGTCCCCACCACTAAGGACATGTATTCTCCTTTAAGGACCTCTGTGCAGGCATTGCCTTTTTTTCAGATAGATTCTTGACATCCTTAATTCCTGTGAATGTTCCAGTCTTGAGCATACTACCCATATTTTATATGAGGTTTTGGTGTGGTGAATATAGGAATATATTTCTCCAGCTTTGTAGTAAAGCACATGCTATGAGGCTTTGGAATAGTTTTGTGTCAAGTAATTATAATTACATAGTTAGACAAATGAGGTTGGATAATCCAGGTTTCCCAAAGTTTCCATTAGATTTATCACAAAAAATTATTAAGGACTAGAGAGATGGCTCAGTGGTTAAGAGTTCTAGCTGCTCTTCCACAGGACCTGAGTTCAAGCCCCAGCAATCACATAGTAGCTCACAACTCTCTATAATGGGATCTGATCTCTCTTCTGGCATACAGACATAACTGTAGACAGAGCTCTCATACGTAAAAAATCTGTCTATTCTAGGGCCAGAGAGATGGCTCAGTGGTTAAAAGCACTGATTGCTCTTCCAGAGGACCAGGGTTCAATTCCCAGCATCCACATGGCAGCTCACAACTGTTTGTAACTCCAGTTCCAGGGGATCCGACACCCGTGGCAAAACACCAATGCACATAAAATAAAAAAATTATTAAAGTTCACAAATTTGACATTACTAACATACTTTTAAGTATTTCAGCTTGTTTGTGCATTAGGCAATAAAACCAACATTCCTAGACATGCTATTTTATCTTGATTAATAGGTGTTTCCACCCATAGAAATGACTTAAGTCAACTGTTAAAAATCAGTCCTAAAATAGTCCCTTTGAAACCTGTTTTCTCCAGCTGTATGCAGAGTCTGGCCTGAAGCATACTGTGTTGGGGAATCTGAGGTGATCCTGATTCCTCCTGGTTTTAAAGAACAAAAAAGTCGTACTCTGCCGAAAGCAAAAACATGAAAGCACTGAGACCCAAAACCTTCCTTGTTGGTACCATTAACTTAGAGTTGGCTCATCTATTGTCTCCATGGTATGCTTTAGACCTCGTGTTAAAGGAATGATATGGGTGTGTGTGTATTCAATACACTTTGGTACAGGTGTGTCCAGCCTGCTACCCACAGACTACCCACAGCATCCCAGGATAGCTACAAATGGGGCCCAACACATTTGTAGATGACAACATCATATCACAGTGTCAAAAGGTTGGAACCCTGCCCCTGAATACTTCTGTGTTCATTGGTGAGCTGTGGATTCTTTGGTCGTTTGCTCGCCTAGAAGCTGAGCAGGTCATGTTCTGTAGCTATGGGACTGAGCAGTGACAAAAGGTGGGACTGGCTCAGAATAAATGCTTGTAAAGTAAGCAGGCTCGGTGGGTACATCTCTGGCACTATAAACCATAGTTTTTGTAGGCTTTCTCTTGAAAACCTCTAGGCACCAGCTAGCTGTGGTGGCTCGTGCCTATAAAAATTTCACCATTTAGGAGATCAAACTAGAAGGTTCACCACAAGTTCAAGACCAGCCCTGGACTACAGAATTAGACTTTGTCTCAAAGAAAAGCCAAAACAAAACTCCTAGAGATAGCTAGAAAGGGAATTTTCTGTCTTTTCTAGTATATTTTCCTTTTGTGTGACATCAGCACGTATTTTTTGTAAAAGATTAATTTATTATGTATACAGTGTTATGTGTGTTTGTATGCCTACTCTCCAGAAGAGGGCATCAGATGGTTATTAGTCACCATGTGGCTACTGGGGATTGAACTCCTAGGCCTCTGGAAGAGCAGCCAGCAGTCAGTGCTCTTAACCTCTGAGCCATCTCTCCAGCCCCAGCACCTATATTTTAACCATAAAATTAGAGCTCAGCAATATCAAAAGGTAGGGCAGCTCCTTTTAGGCATGGTCAGTATAGTTCTTGGATATAGAAATATTTAGAATTCACTACTGCTTTTCTAGACATTAAAAGAGCGATAGTAAAAAGAAAAAGGCAACTCAGTAAGAGAGAATGATCGCTTTTCAAATGTGGCCCTAGGTGATAGGATCTGAAAGGCTAATTGCATCAGGGCGCTTGTGCTGTACAAATTCTATTTCCTTGCCATTGGTACTAAGGAGCCACTGATCATTTGAGGTCCTTGGAGTTAACTCTTGCATTTTATTTATTTTGTGGTACCAAGGATTAAAAGCCGGGACTTGTGTGTGTTAGACAAGGATCCTGCCACTAAGCTGTATCCTCAGCCTTTTAAAACTTTTTAAAATAAAAATCATGAGATGACAGTTCCGCTAAATTGCATAGGCTAGCTTTGAACTCACTCTATTGTGCAAACAAGCCTTGAGCCTGTGGTCCTGTATCAGTCTTCTGAGGTTATAACAGGGGTTGCAGGTTTGTACCACCAGGCTGATGTGGCATATACCCTTACTAAAGAATCACTTGGTTCCTCAAATCAGCCCTTAGCAAGAAAACTTTGTTATACAATTGCCACATGGAGAAGAAAACAAGAGTCTCTATGAGATGGGAGAGACCAGCTAGAACAAACGGAGAGTGATTTTCCCACAGGCTCTAATGGCCATGGGTACTGGTACCTGTAGGCTATAGGAAGTTGAACAGATGGCGCAAAGTAGCTGAGTAACTCCAGGAGATGGGCCCGGCTTCCTTGTTGGACGCACTTTGTATCTAACATAGGCACACAAGGGACTCTCCCTGGTACTCTTCCCTATTGATTTGACAGTGACAGAACTGTGCCAGGCAACTGTTGTGGTACAGAAATATCACTCATTTACTTCCCGAGTCAGCTCTCTGAGATGAGGGGCCTGGGAGGTGGCAGTGGAAAGCAGCAGGCATTGTGTGTGTTCCATGGCCGGCTTTCCCTTGTTGAGTGACAGACTACAGAGATTGACAGGTCTGAGTGAGAGTTCATCAGCCTCTGCCCAAGCCGCCCAAGCGGGTTCCCAGACAAAGGGTGTGGTTTCCTTAGCTCACTCTCTGCTATTTGGTTGCGTATGGCAACAGGATCCAAACAACTTAGACATGTGGTTGTATTTAAAAAAAAAAAAAAAAACTGGGAATGGAACCCAAAGCAGGAGTGTGGGCCATTCAGTTGGTGGAAGAGCAGCGGTGAGTAGCAGAACTGCTCGTTTCTTTCCTCCATTCTTTCTCGAAATTACATGGTGGATGAATAGTTTGGGTTCAGATAGTTTCAGTTCCTGTACTTCTAACACAAATAATTGCTGTCTGTTTACTCCTGTAAATTCCCTTTTTTAAGTGTGATAGGAAAAATTAGCACATGTGTATAGAAATTGGAAACTAATAGAAACCCAAATTTGGTGCCTTCCTGGTGGCAGGATTCTCTACTAAATGACTTGGCAGAGGGGCTACGGAAGACCTTAGCAGGGCTCTGGTACTTGGCAGACCTCTTATATATGGTTATCTAGGGCCATAGCTGAGGGAGTTTGTTCATGGGAAGGGGATGGAGGGAGGAGGTCCTTGGAATTATTTTGAATCTTTGCAGAAGTCAGTTTTCCAGATTCAACTTGAAACTTTTGCTGTTTAGAGCAGCAAACATACCAGAAGGTAATACGTCAGTGAACAGCCCAGTCCTTACTGGCTTGACCTGAGAAAAGATTTGATTTTGCTGCGTCACAAAGCGTCACCTCACTGTGACAGATACTTCATGGTTGCCTTGCCCAGGAGTCTTCCTTCTTTACTGTCCCACCTCACCTTTCCATTCCAGGTTCAACAACAGATGGGTCTCCCAGGATCCTACCTTAGAATAAGTACTGGTCCTCTTGCCATCCTTAGTGTCCTCTGTGAGTCAGCAGAGTGATTTCTGACATGTCCGCAGGGAGTCGCTGGTCCTTGACATGTGGCATTTAGTGTTCAAATCAGAGGTATTTTCTTCCTGGGAGCCGTAGTGAAGTATCAGTTGTCGTGGCACTTGGTAACTAGCCAAGCTCAAGTGGAAGCTAGGCCCTGAGGACTAGAGGGTTTTCCTAGCTCCATGGCAGCAGTGCGCAGGAACCTCCGGAGCCTTCTGTGACAGGGCACCCTTGTATTTCCCTTTGCCCATTTGTTCTCCCTGCTTGCCTTTCCAGGTCCCTCCAGCTATAAGGTGGGCACCATGTCTGAGAAGTTCGACTGTCACTACTGTAGGGACCCCTTGCAGGGGAAGAAGTATGTGCAGAAGGATGGCCACCACTGCTGCCTGAAGTGCTTCGACAAGTTCTGTGCCAACACCTGCGTGGAATGCCGCAAGCCCATAAGCGCAGATGCCAAGGTAACTATTGTCCCCGAGGGGGAACAGGGCGGGCTGGGCTTCATGTACTTTCTTGCAGCCGCGCACCGTTTTGAGTTTTCGTCACAGCAGCCTTAAGTACTTGAGACAGGTTCTATGCTGCCTAGGGTACTTTTCATGCCCCCTAGCTTAAAATAGAGTAATATGGGCCTTGGACTAGATGGCCCACTAAGGCCTTTGCAGCTCTTGAGTTGGACAGGTTGAATGGCTTTTATCGAAATGCTCGGCAAGAGAAGTGTTTGAGTTTGGATTTTCTTATTTTATAATTCTTGGACATTTTTAATGAAAGATTTTGATAACAATACCCAAGTATAAACACAAAATTTGTTCGCATTCTATTTATCTTCTGTGTGCATAATTTGAAGGTGATTTTATACAATGTTTTTTTATTTTTTTTTTAATTAAACATAATCCTATCATTTCCCCCTTTCCCTTTTCTCCTTCTAGCCCTTTTGGGCATTCCCTAGCCCCTGCACCCTTTCTCTCAAATTCATGGCCTCTGGTCTCCTTTTCTTTTATCGTTGTTACTTTTTGAAAGTAATTGTGTGTGGAATGACGTTTATGTGCTATAGCTAAACGTACCGGAAAGGTCTTGTTTTCCCCAGAGATGCAGGATAAACTGTGTTGCGCTTTGACATTGTGACTGTGACCCAGCACGAGACCAGATGTGCTTTTCTTCTTCTTCTTGTGGGATCTATTAACCCTCTAAAAGCTTCAGATTTTGAAGCGTTTGAATTTCAGATTTGTGCTGAGGGCTCTCCTACCTCTCCTCTTATGTCCTTTGGGAGCTCTGAGGCTTTCATCTACACTTCAGTATTCTGTTACTCCTAAAAGCACAGGGCATCCCCACATGGAAGGGGCTGACATCTGAGTGAGTAGTTCCCCGGCCCTGGAGAACCTGGTGTCTGATGGTAAGGCTACTGCCACTGCCCCCAGTACCCCTCACTGTGGCCACCCTGCTCTGCTTGATGTCCAGGAGGTGCACTATAAGAATCGCTACTGGCATGACACCTGCTTCCGTTGTGCCAAGTGCCTTCACCCCTTGGCCAGCGAGACCTTTGTGTCCAAGGATGGCAAGATCCTGTGCAACAAGTGCGCCACTCGGGAGGACTCCCCCAGGTGCAAAGGGTGCTTCAAGGCCATTGTGGCAGGTACTGGCCCCCTGCTACCCTGAGGGCAGACATGGTGTGTGCTTGCTTGTCCTGGTGGGGCTAACATTGCTGTGAGCTGCTTTTGAGATTTTGGCATATATATGTACACATATACATACACGTATATATGCGTACACATATATGCTCGCACACACGCACACACTCGGAGACTAAAGAACACTGGCAAGAACAGTCTGGCAAGAGAATGAAGTGAAAAGTATGTAGCTTTTTCTCCTTTGGGTGTACTAAGTGACTGGTGCATGCTTCTCCCTCAGGTATTTGGGGTTAGGTGAAGCTCTTCAGTTATTGCAAGGGTGGAGGTGGGGGAGTGGGGGTTCAGGTGCCTCATCCCCACCTGTAACAGAACCCTCCGTTGGCATGACTGCAAGTAACACATGGGGATAGGTTGAGGGAGGCCACTGACTGCAGGGCCTGCATCCCCTCGCCTCTGGGGAAGGGCTGGGGAGCTGAGCGGATGCAGCACCCTGCAGAGCCTGTCAGTGTGGCTATTGGATTGCTTCCCTCTGCAGGAGACCAGAACGTGGAGTACAAGGGCACCATCTGGCATAAAGACTGCTTCACCTGCAGCAACTGCAAGCAAGTCATTGGGACCGGAAGCTTCTTCCCTAAAGGGGAGGACTTCTACTGTGTGACTTGCCATGAGACCAAGTTTGCCAAGCACTGCGTGAAGTGCAACAAGGTATGTTGTGGTAATTGTGCACCGAGCATCGTTCCCTGGTGTTGGACAATTTGCAGCGCACTGCACACACACTATCTCATTCCATCCTCATGATAGCCCTGTGACGTTGGAATTATTGTGCCCATTTTACAGATGAGGAGCCTGGGGTTAGAAAGCAGTGCTACAGCTGATTCTAGTCATCAGCATGTGCCCCTCCATTCTGAGTCAGGCATCCCTGGCTCTGGAGGCCCTGCCTCCTCTACTTCATTGGCTTCTGAAGAGGCTGACCTTCTCTAAGCCTTGGTGTCTTCATCTGTAAATTGGGGATAATAATAGCACCTGCCTCCCATGGCTGTAATGGTGATTAAATGAGATACTGTATACCAAAGCACCCAGCTCAGTGCCTGGTTGTTGAATCTGAATCCCGGTGCCCCACTCCCTGGTCTAGGCCATCACATCTGGAGGAATCACTTACCAGGATCAGCCCTGGCATGCCGAGTGCTTTGTGTGTGTTACCTGCTCTAAGAAGCTGGCTGGGCAGCGTTTCACCGCTGTGGAGGACCAGTATTACTGCGTGGATTGCTACAAGAACTTTGTGGCCAAGAAGTGTGCTGGATGCAAGAACCCCATCACTGGTAGGCTAAAGAGTCCTTGCTAAGTCTGCCAGGCTAGTTTTTTTGTGCATGGTAACCATCTCTCATTTCCTGGCGTCGGTTTCATCCACAAAGGCCCCTAGACAATGCCCCTACAATGGTGGCCCCAAAGGCCTCCCCCAAATAGTTTGGATTTTCTCCCAGGCCAGATTAACCCTTGCAATGCAGAACACTTCCTGACTACTATTGACCAACTAGCCATGCCAGTTCAAGCGCTGCCCAGGGGTGAAATTGGGTGGGGGTGGGGCAGGCACAAGGGGTGGGGGGTTAGTGGTGGGAGAGCCAGGAGAGGGAGGGGGTGAAAAGAGGGGATGGGGAGGGCTAGGGAGGCTGGAAAACTAAAAGCTGGCATTATACCACTCCATAGTGGAAGGCTAGTGCAGAGGGACCTGCTAGCGGGGTCATTTTTATGTATTTTTAATCTTTTTGTGATCAGAAGCAAAGCTAATCACTTCATTCCTCATCTTGCGGCCGCGATCCACGTGCCCTGAGCCCTTTCCCTTGCCTCCAATTTTCCCATCTCCCCGGGGAGCCTTGAAATGTACATTTGAGAAGACTTTTGCCATCCTCAGGGAAAAGGACTGTGTCAAGAGTGAGCCACCCAGTCTCTAAAGCTAGGAAGCCCCCAGTGTGCCACGGGAAACGCTTGCCTCTCACCCTGTTTCCCAGCGCCAACCTCCGGGGCAGGCATCCGGGTGGAGAGAGGACTTGTCCCTCGTGGGTGGTGGTTCTTTATAGAAAAAATCGAAGCTTAGCAGCTCCTCCTCGAGGCCCGGTAAGTGCACACCCCACAAACAGCCCAAGTTTGCCTCCTGGTGGCCACTTTGATGCCATGGCCCTGACTTTAAAAGACACTGGTTATGCTGGGAGGTCGGTGCGCGTCACAGAGCTATAGTGGTGGTGGCATGGGAACAGGGGTTCTTTAAATCAGGGAAGCCATTGGCTGAGCTCTGGCATCTTTTCAGGTCCTTGACAGCCATAGAAGGGTTGCGGCGGCGCGGGGGACAGTGGCGGCACGGGGGACAATGCGCGGTGGGAGACAATGCGCGGTCGAGTAGAGGGGAGCAGAGAGCCCGGCAGACACTGACTGTGTGCCTGTCGACTCTATGATCGGGCAAGTTGTCATTTTATCTCTGACTCCTGGGTTCCTCATCTGTCTTCATTCAGCTGTTCTCTCTGTTTTCTTGTGTTTTCCCACAGGGTTTGGTAAAGGCTCCAGTGTGGTGGCCTATGAAGGACAATCCTGGCACGACTACTGCTTCCACTGCAAAAAATGCTCCGTGAATCTGGCCAACAAGCGCTTTGTGTTTCATAATGAGCAGGTGTATTGCCCCGACTGTGCCAAAAAGCTGTAACTTGACAGGGGCTCCTGTCCTGTAAAATGGTATTTGAACCATGCTTTGTGTCCTTTGCTCACTCGCTCTGTTACCATCCATAGAGGAGGAGTGGGTTTCCACCTTCAAAGTTGCTCCTTCTGTCCTTTCTCCCATTTTACAGTATTACTCAACTAAGGGCACATTGTGATCATATTAGGATTTAGCAAAGAGCAACCTTGCAGCAAAAATAATTTCTCTTTTGCTGCAATGGAAAAAACAGAAACTTAGATAGACTCTTCTGCATGTTTCTCATAGAGCAGAAAAGTGCTAACCATGTAGCCACTTCATGATGTAAGCAAGAAGCATAGGCGATAAAGGCTCCCACTGAGATGCCTTCCAGGGCTCATCTGGGACCCTCTATGCTGTCACATGACTGATGCGCAAGAGTTGGAGCGGCTGCTCCAACTCCCTGCTCACCTTCTTCTGTGAGCAGTAGAACTTGCCAGAATGCGTGGTTTAACTTCATCAAAACTCTGACCTTCCTTCTGTTCTTTTGTGCTGTCACAATGCTAACACGAATTTGCAGAGAATTAACATTTTGAACCTAGCTGTAACTCTCAACTGACTTTCCCCCTACTAACGTTTGACTCCCCACGTGGCGTGTTTTCTGATCATTCCTGCTTTGAAGCATGGAGCACACAGGTGATTTGGAGAGTGTAAGTAGATCTGAGGAAACGAGCCTGTTTCAGGACATCGTCACAGTGACTTCTGGAAGCTTAACAAAACTAACCCTCCTGTCCTTGTTCATTTTTTAAAATTTTGTTTTAATTAATAGTAAAAATAGTTTATGGGTTTGGAAACTTGCATGACAATATTTGAGCCTCCTCAGACATCCCTGCAGTTTTGGGATCCATCCTATAGAAGAGACAAAAACTCTAGAGGGGCAGCTGAGCAGGCACAGACAGCTGTCTGTCATCAACAAGAATATGACATGTCAAAACCGTGACAAGTTGATTCCCTTGTGACATAGTTGTCTGCTCTTTGTCTGTGTTCAAGAAAACCACAAAGTCTTGTGATTCTTAGAACGTTCCCTCAAGAGTTTAGCTGGGTCTCGGGGGCTGTTGGGGGTGGTCATCATCCTCCCCAGGCAGGACTGGTTTTCCACCTCCTGCATCTCTGAAACACAGAATACCTACTTAACTGTATTTTCCATTATATTACATATATAAAGAGACAATATCAAGGTAAACATGTAATGAAAATACATATTCGTATATTACTGTAGCAGTGGTCGTAGATGCCGCCAGCTCACTTCCACACTGTCATTAGCTGTTTCCATCTAACGTTTCAGTGTATCCTTACAAAAATAAAAGCAGCATAGAAAGAATACGTCTCCTGTTTTTTTATTATTATGCCCAAGACAAGCACGGGTGTGTAATAATGCTGCAGCCTCAGAAACTTGGGGACCTTGTTCCTGGCGTCAAGGATATACTTAGTTCAGTGCAGTGTACAAACATGTAGCACCACCGCGGTCCAGTTTTTTTCTTTTTTCTTTTGTTTTGTATTTAAAAAAAAAAAGCCTCAAAGTATTTCCCAGATTTCTGCATTTCACAAGAGCCAATGATGCTTGCATGGGCAGGATAGCATAGGCAGGAAGGGACTCCCAGATGAGGCCATTTCAGAAGGAATCTTGCTTTCCCCTCATTCCTTCATTCCTTTCCCTTCGGCCCTCTAGAGCCTGGGATCCATGCGCCATTGTGTCTTTCCCATCTGCCCTTCCTACCTGCACCCCCCTAGTGCTTTGGGCCATTGTCTCCTTTTGAGAGATGGGAGAGCAGAGGGAGAGGCTGGCCTGGTATACTGAGCCTCTGTGGAGTTGGAACTCCTGAAGCTCATATTCTTACCCATCCACCCTTCGCCTACCCTAGAGGTTATTTTAAGAGGCCCCAAGTGGGGGCTGGAGAGATGGCTCAGTGGTTAAGAGCATCGCCTGCTCTTCCAAAGGTCCTGAGTTCAATTCCCAGCAACCACATGGTGGCTCACAACCATCTGTAATAAGGTCTGGTGCCCTCTTCTGGCCTTCGGCATACACACAGACAGACTATTGTATACATAATAAATATTTTTAAAAAAAGAGGGCCCAAGTGGCCACCAGCAATGGCAGTGGCAATGGGTGCCAGCTGTGCTCACTTCTTGTTCTAACGCTACGTGTCTGCTAACCGCAGATTGGAGGGGTAGCAGTTAGGCCTTCACAAGCCCCCTGGCAGAATAAAAAATGGTTCTATTTTGTGGGTATCAGAATTTTGAGAGATACTAGGGTCAGAGTGGTCTTCATCAGCTGAAGCATTTGCCATCTGAGAAGGGTTGAGGCCTGTCAGAATTGACCTCAAGCCTTTTTTCCATTTTGCTGTAGATTGAACCCAGGCCTCTTATGATCATCAAGAATGTGAACGTCCCCTTTGGGTATGCTCCTTTTTAGAGAGATTGCCTGTGGCCACACCCTGAAACCACTGAAGAGAACTTATCTAGGTTTCTAAGGTCCTGCCTTTGCTCCATGCCGGCACCATCCGCCTCTGCAAGCTTTTTGTCTTGCTGTTCTGCCCAGCATTCCTTCCCTTCCCAGAATTCCAGAGTCTCTCCCCAGAATGAGTTATGTGGCCTCCAGTCCAAGGCCTCTCAAATTGTTCTCAGTCCCTTCCTACCTTTACTTCCCATTCTGCACTGAACTTGGCTTCTGTCACTTGAGCTCCTCTCCCATGGCCTCGGCTCCACCAAGCCTTGACTGGGAAAACCTTAGCTGCTCCCGAGTTACGCTAACAAAAAGCTGCGTTGCCTAAAATGCCCGGAACCATTTCTCCCACTCACTCCATAGTCTGTAACAATAGTCACCTCCCCCAAAAACCTGCCTTCCTTACCCAAGGAACAGGCCTACTGGGCATCTGCCTCTGTGCTGTTTGCCCTTAACACTGATCTTCAGAAGCAAACGTCCTTCATTCACACCAGGCCTAATTGCCTCAACCAGTGCTGGGCCCATTTTCCAGGTGAGAAAAATACAAGTTCAGAGAGATGAAGGTTTCCTAAAGCTACACAGCTCATGGGAGAGGCCGGTCTGGGCATACTACTAGTGTGTCGGGACAGTGCACGGCACAGAAGTGGCATATCAATGAGGAAATTGATCAGGATATCCACGACTTTAGAAGACACTTGTTTATTGCATGATAGGGCTCAGGAGAAATGGGGTTACATATCTAGTTACTACACTGTCTGCAGACAGGCCCCATCTGGATCAGAACACAGTAACCTATTGCTAACAGGGTGATAACCTGAAGCCAGGTTGTCTGGGTTCAAATCTTGGGCAATCAACAACTCACTAAGCTTGTTTCTTAAAATGAGATAGAATGGCTCATTTCAAAATTGTATGCATGTGATAGGATCACAGGAGAGCTTAGGGCGGTAACGGGTACCACGTAAATACACAATCAGTGTTAGCAAGGGTTCTGTCCTGAACACTGATAGTGCTCGACCCTACCTACAAGTCACCCTATAGCACTCATGAACCGTGGTAGGGGGTGGATCCAAGTCAGCCGGACTTGGATTTGGACACTGGCGCCACTGCTTTCTAGGTGGGCGACTGAACTGAACGTCAGCGTCTACGTATTACCATGTCTTTGTAGGTAGAAACATCCACACGTGCCTCAGATGCTGTGAGGACTGCAGGGGCTGCCTCCCTAGAGCCTGGCACTTCCTATGCAGATCCCAGACTTCAGTGGCTGCACTGCAGCTGCGGGAGTTGGAAGGCCAGGAGTGGCTAGGACCCATGAGGAAACAAGAATGCTGGGAAAGGGAACCTGGCCACTGCTTTGGCTAATTAAGGAAGTCACTGAAAGTGACACACACAGAGCAGTTGACCTTTGCTACTAGCTAAGCTTATGTCTCAATCCCCTAGCTTTGGCCACAGAGTCCATAGAGTATGTGGCTTTTTGGGAATGAAAACGCCCATGGATTGCAGTAACAATCCCTTCACCTGATTGATAGGAAAAAGGTTCAGAGGGGAGGCAACTTGGGGCCACACATTGCAAACTGGCAGCCGCCTCAGCTAGGGGTTCAGTCTTTGGAGTCCTTTGTAGGATTCCTTACAGTACTCATGTGTTCAGAGAATCATTCTGCATGATGTGGCCATGGTAACAAGGGCACAGGAAGTGTGCTGCCCTGAAGAATCTGTTGGATGTGGCCGAGAATCTGTGTCCCTTAGGGGACAAGACATAATAGTAGGAAGGACTGTGAAGAGGCTAACCCAGAAAGTGATCTTTGGAAGTCTGTCACCTTGGAGCTGTGAACGGAACACTGGTTTGATCAGATGGATTGATATGACCTGGTGCCGACAGGAATGAAATATGTCTAGATTATGCTGATTCAAATATACATAGAAAATGCTAGAATGTTGCCAAAAGATAGCTCAGGTGGCTAAAGGCTTTTCCTACCAAACCAGATGGCCTGACTTGGATTCTCAGACCCCACAGGGTGGAAGCACTCAATCCTGCGATTTGTCCTCTGATCTACCTCCACATGCCTGCTGTGAGACCCCCCACCCCAGCCACAGGAAAGAAAGAAATGTAAAAAAAGCTCTAGAATGATAAGCAAGGAATGGCTGCCGCTACTTTATCAACACCAGATGACAAACACTAGGGAATAAATACGGGCCTAGCTTCATTAAAAGCAAAACTTAGTGAGGTTAAAGCATGATGGACAGATTGAATTAACTGATTGATTTGTTCAGTGGAAATTGCCATCTTCCAGCTTGAGTGTCCTGGAGTGCTAGAATTACAGGCATTGTGCTACAACACCTGCACAAACCAGATTTTAGCATTGGGACCTTGGAGCCAGTTGGTGGCGGTGCACGCCTTTAATCCTCCCACTTGGGGGGTAGATGTAGGTGGATCTCTGTGAATCTGAGGCCAGCCTGGTCTCCAGAGGGCTACACAGAGAAACCATGTCTCAAAACAAAACAAAAAGGTAGAACCTTGATCCAGTAAGATGTTCCGTTGGCTAAAGTGCTTGGTATGAGAACCTGATAATCTGAGT